TTTTCAGAGCAGCCTTGTCTGTAATAGTCCCAAACTGAAAACAAGCAGAATGTCCTACCATCGGTCAATGGTTAAACAAACTGTGGGACGTCCATAGTATGAAATACAACTCAGCAATAAAAAGGAACAAACTATTGATACACACAACATGGAGAGATCTCAGGGGCACTAAACTAAGTGGAAAATCTCAAAAAATCACATATTGCATGATCCCATTTCTGTAACTACAGTTACATAAAATGAACCCATTGGAAGAAATGAAGGCTACCCAGGACCTTTCTGTATGATCTTTGCAATGTCCTGCAAATGTGCAATTATAGAAAACAAAGTTTTTTCTTAAAAAAGCATTGTAGAAAAGAAATTGTCTTTTGGTGGAAAATTATGCATTGTCTCCATATAGCACACCCTTCCAAGTTATCTGATTCTATTCTTTGTCTTTGAATGATTTTTACACTTTGAAAATGTAGATAACTGACAGACATGCAAACTGTCCTGTCCAGTAAAGGCTCCCTTCCTCCCTCACCTGTACCTCCCCATGGAAAAAACCAGTTTGTCCATGGAAAAACCATTTGCACTTTCAATTCAACATTCCTCTATTCCATATCAATTTGTGCTTTTTTGACTTTTCCTTTGAATACTATGAGGGCATCAAACAAGTTAAATAAAATCGTTAACATCTGTTCATTTTTTGTGTGTACATATGAGAGTCATAATTTTACCTTTTCTGAAAATTATCTTTTAAGAGCATCAATCAGGTTGCGTCACTCCCCAGCTTCACCACCTCCAAGCTTCCTATGGCATTTCAAATGAATGCCAGACATTTCCCAAGGTACACATAACACAGCACACGCTGGGCCCAGCCCGCCCCAGGGCCTCATCTCCTCACCCTGCCCCTTGCCCAGACACTCCGACTTCTTGCCCTTGCTTCAGCTCCCTGAGAACATCCAACGTGTTCCCACCTGCTGGCTCCTGCACTTGTTGTCCCTCAGCCTTGAGTGCTCTTCTCATGGATGGCTCTTTTTCACCAGTAAACTGCCAGCTCAACTGGTCCACCTCAGAGAGGTCGTCTCAAACCATTTATCAAAAGTAACATCCCCATCCTATTTTTTTCATCATAGTTATTTCTATCAGAAATATGATCAATGATAGTATTATGTATCAGATATGTTTTATATATTATATTTACTCTATTAGTATAATATTAACTATATAAGTATGTAATGTATTTATATATTATATTATGTGAATATAATATATTGTTTGGTTAGTTTCCAGCTTATTTATTACCTGCCCAACCCAATTCTATAATAGTAGGATCTTGGCATCTGCTTTCATTATATCCTCCAATGCTTAGAAAGGTACCTAGCACATAGTAGGCACTCAATAAATATTTGTTAAATAAATCCTTGGGAGAGCAGTATCTGGCCGGCTCAGTTGGTAGAGCATGCCATCTTGGGGTCATGAGTTCAAGCCCCACATTGGGCATAAAGCTTACTTAAAAAAAACCAACCAACAAACAAACAAATCCTTGGGTGAATGATGCTTCCGGAAGTAGTGAGGTCCCCAGGACCGAAGTATTTAGGTATGGTTTGTATAACCACTTAGCAATGTCATAGAAGAGCTATAGGCATAGGATCAGTCACAAGAATAAAAGATCATGAAGGACTCTTCTAGTGCTACGAGTCTATGATTCTGTGGCCACTCCACCCTCTCTGCCACGCAGTGGGAAAAGCAAAGGAGTATTCCTCAGCTCTTTCCCACCAAATGATGGTACGCACACTCCTGTTCCTGCCGCAATATCATCTCAGCATTAAAATGTTGAAGCTAATCAGACATTTAATTTCAAAGTGGAAGGTCATTATCTTGTCACAAAATTTTATTCCAATTACTTTTTTTTCTATTATACGAAATGAATTAAAAGTAGCACAAAACATTGGGAGATCAAACAGTCAATCAGAAGCTCATTAAATATCATTGAAATTGGTGCAATAAAAAGCATTTCCCACAGCTGACTTATTATTTAAAAGCTATATTCTGGATGGCTCAAGGAATTGAATGCTGCCAATCAAAAATCACCCTGTCCATAAATAGCCAACTTGGCTTTAAAAAGTTCACTACCTTTTTTTTTTTTTTGAGATAAGAGTAAATATCTAAGGAGATTTAAAGCATGGGTGTAATTACCATCCTATCAGCCCCCATGAGACCCTAAAGAGAAGATATCAGCAAAGTCACCATCTGATAATGTAGACTATAACTTAGAGAAAGATGCTTACAAAGTGCTACCAGTGATTTTATAAACACTTCAATACATTACATTTATGTACAATACTCAACTAAGTACAATCCCAGGCAGGAATTAGTGGTCAGTTACAAGTTTAAAATTGAGTCCAACTTCACACTTGGAATAAATGCCCATTTTATTTTCTCAAGAGTGATTATTAAGTACTTCATTTTTCTATGGACCCAGACGTAGGTGACTGTTAGCATGAGGATCTGTAAGTTGACTGTTTCTAAATTTCTAATATTTTTTCTACTAGGAGCCCTCCCCCCACCTTTTCTTTTAAAGCTATACCACTAATTTTAACATTCAGTTTTATAGAAACGACTATTTTTTGATGTATAGGATGACAGGTCCTTTTAGTTGGTAAAATACAACAACAGAAGTACTGTTCCCAGTCTCTTAAGGTGTTTAAGTGGTGAGGATGATACAAACTAAAAATACATAACCAAAAAGAGAAAGCTCTCAGGCATAGGAAATTACTTCTTCAGTAGAAGGACTCAAGAATTTCTCCCCTCTAAACCACCCCACACAAACACTGCCCCCACCCCAATTTCTTTTCAAACACCAGGACTTAATGGCAAATTATTTGGTAGTAAAGTGGGAGGGAAACATTTCAATGCAAAATTCAGAACTGCTTTACCGAAAGTAAAGTGTGGGGAGGTTTGTTATCATTTATTTCCTCCAGTATATCATTCAATTTCAGCTGTCTCACGTCTCAGAAGAAGCTCCCCCATTTCTCACTTATGTGCCTAAGAAACATCTCTCTGGCATCTCAATCCCTCACCTTGTCTTTTACCAGCATTTCATTATTTCATAACTGTCCCTCTCATACTATGTCTCCCTGTTTCCTAGTGATCCACGTGTCCTCATTTAGCAGTTTTCAGAAGCCAGGGAGAAACGTTGCAAATAATGTTAAATATGATTAATATCTTGAATTCCTTGAAATATGACATGCATGAGTTACAATGAAACCTCTTTTATTTCCCCATGAAATGCTTTTGCATAATGAGAAAGAAAATGTCCTCTATGCCCTAATCAGCTCTGACAGTTCCTGGACTCCCAAATACTTTTATTTATGGCATTATTTATTTCATCTCTAATAAATGGAAGCGGGGTACCCACAGCATGATCTGAGGAAGCTGAAGGAGAGAGAGAGACTATCCGGGGTGGAAGAACACAGAAGCTGAACCAGAAGAGAGAGGATTCCAAGGTAAGGGAGATATGGAAAATAAGAAGCGAAGGACCCAAACCCCCAAATGGGTCACTTTCCCAAGACTGAAAGGAAAACTCCGAAAAGGAATGTAACTTCAGAGTGGTGAGAGGAGACTCATACATTGAGGAGATGCACCCAGATTCCTAACCTGGGGAATGAAGACTGACAGGCTGGAAACCAATCCTGGGAGGAAGTATGCTGGCATTGGCGCCGGCCTAGGAGAAGGATGATTTACTCCAAGGAGCCTCTGGGAGAAGCCAGGGCACTCCTAGATTTGAAGACATCTCTACTCCATGGGGATCCTCCTCCAAACCACAGAAGCTCTTCTCTCATTCAATTACTGGAATTGTGTGTCCTCCAGAAACACTGTCCTGGTGGCCCCAGATGCAGTGAGAAGCTGGCTGGGTTATACAGGGAACGAGCAATCGGCCACCTTGGTTCTCACATTTACGTATATATCAAATGACACTGTTGAAAGTATTTAATCACCATCCCAAAGGGAGGTATCAGGTCAGATTTTTTCCCTCAATTGCAGAGTCTACGTGCTATGAGAAGTGAGGATATGAATTCAAATGATCTGGATGCATGTCTGCACTCAGCCACACACTCCTGAGCGTCTGGCTTTGGGCAATTACCTCGCGGATCCTCTGTTTACTCATCTGTAGAATGGGGTAAATGATTCTGCTACATTCTCGGGGCCCCTACGGGAAATTAATAAAATAATGTGAAAGTCCGAAAGCCCGTACGCTCGTGGGATCTACAAGAGCTCAAAGGTCACATGCTGGGTGTGGGCGGACCCCGAGACGCGCAAACAACGCGCAGCGACCCTAGGTCAAGACCGTCAAGGTGTTCTTTTCCAAAGGTTGGGGGAGCAATTCCCGAGGGGCAGAACTGGCTGCAATACCTTCCCAAGGCACGCACGCCCCGCCCCAGCTACTACCAGCCCCTCTGTGCAACCCCGAGAGTTTGGGGTCACGTAGGGGGCGCCAGGAGCTCATTTCCGAAGCTGAACCCCGCCTGCAACGGCAAAAGCTTCAAGTCCGCACCTGGGGCTCCAAAGTCTCGCGCTGGCCGGGACCTCGCCCTGTTTACCCGCGCGCCCTCGGGATCCGGCTTTTCCCTTCCCTCCCCCCGTCGGAGGCGCACACCCGGCGCGCGGACCCCACGGGCGGCGGCGGCGGCGGCGGCGGCGGCGCCAGGCCCCGCCCCCATTATCATTAGCAGATATTACCCTAAACACTTGCTCTTTACCTCCTTTCTCCCTCCAGGCATTGGCGAGGCGGCCTGTCAATCAGCGCTCGGGCGGCAGCCCCCCGCGCGGGGGCTCAGCGATGCCAGCCTCAGCGACAGGCGGCAGTGGCGGCGGCGGCGGCCCAGGCACAGGCACACACCCTCCCACACGCGCGCACTCGGGCAGAGCCGGCGGGCGGGAGGCGGAGGCACCCTCGGAGCCCGGCGCCCGGCGGGGAGGGGGCGTGCGACCGGGGACCGGCCCCGAGGCGCAGGATGGAGGAGGAGATGCAGCCGGCGGAGGAGGGGCCCAGCGTCCCCAAAATCTACAAGCAGCGCAGCCCCTACAGCGTCCTCAAGACGTTCCCCAGCAAGAGACCGGCGCTGGCCAAGCGCTACGACAGACCCACCCTGGTGGAGCTGCCGCACGTCCGGCCGCCGCCGCCGCCCCCGCCGCCCTTCGCGCCGCACGCCGCCGTCTCCATCAGCAGCAGCGAGCCGCAGCCGCCGCCGCCGCCGCCGCCGCCGCAGCAGCAGTTCCAGGCGCAGAGCTCCTACACCCCCGGGCCCGGCCGGGCCGCCGCCGCCGCCTCATCGTCGTCTCCATCCTGCACGCCCGCCGCGTCCCAGGGCCACCTGAGGACTCCGGCGCCGCCGCCGGCGTCCCCCGCCGCCTCCTCATCCTCGTCCTTCGCCGCAGTCGTCAGGTATGGCCCGGGCCCGGCGGCCGCAACGGGCAGCAGCAGCGCAGGCAGCGACGGCGCCAGCCTGGAGCTCAGTGCAGGTACCAACTCCTGGGCGCAACTTTCCTTCCCGCCCGGCCGCGGGGAGGGGTGGGGGCCCCGGGAATCAGAAGCTGGGCATGGCGGACCCCCTTTCGCGCGCCGGGCCTGGCGGGAGGGGCGCGGGGGGAGAGGGGTCGGCGCGGTAAGGGCTGAGAGAGAGGGCGTCGGAGCGCAACCCTGAGGCCTCCACGCACGGGCAGCAACTTCTAGAGGATTCCCCGCCGCCGCAGTGTGCGGAGCTTCCGACGGCGGGCGCGCCTCCTAACAGGTGGCTCCGCGCTCGGATCCAGCTCGGCATCCAGGAAGCGGGGCGGTGGCCGTCGGCTGCAGGGGTCCTTCGGGCGGGGGCGTTGGGGAGGCAGCCTCGGCGCCGAGGTTGCGCGCCGGACACCCCAGGGTGGCGGCCACGGCCGCTCGGGGAGAGGCTGGCGCTGCTTTGGCGGCGCTCGGGGACGCCCTCCCTTTACCCTGGGCTGCTGCACTTTTTCCTTCCACTTTTCCTTTCTCTCTCTTTCTTCTCCGCTTGTTTCTCCTTCTCTCTCCTCCTCCTTACCTTCCGGTCCTCTTTTTCACCACCTATTTGAGGCACTCTGACTCTGTCGCGGTCCACTCGGCTGGCTCTTGGGCTCGCTCTTTTTCTGTGTGCTCGTGTTTCTCGTGCGCGCGCTGTCTCTGCTCTCTCTGGCCCTCTTTCCCCACCGACCCCGGAGTCCCGGCCCGTGGGTGTAAGAGAGCGGGGTCCTCTGCACCAGCCCTCCGGGTGGACCTGGCGCTCGGCCCTGCGGCGGACTTTAGGGAGGGGGACGTCCCGCCCCTCCCCCCAGCCCAGGGACACCCCTCCCCTAGGGCGCTCCGGGCCCGCCGCCCACGCCCCCCGCGCAGAGGGATGGGGCTGCGAGCATCTGAGCCCCAGCCATGAAGAAAGGCCTGGTGGGGAGCGCCCACCCCAGGGAACGAGGCTCCTCTCCACTGGGAGCCTGCAGGAGGCCCCCTGGGAAAAGCCCTCTCTCCTTCCGGAGGTGGGCTGGTAGAAAGGCCACAGCCTGGGGCCTGCGCCCGAGGGCACTCTGCGCTCCCTCAGGGCGCGGAGCCGCGTTTATCTCGCTCCTGAGAACTAAAAGTTCCTGCTGAGGCCTTTCATGGCTTTTTAGAGCTCCCCCCCACCCCCATTCTGCGCCTCCGTGGATCCAAGGCTTTTGTCCCAATGAAAATAAGAGCATTGTCTCTAAATGAGTTATAGATGCCTGTGCTAATGTTACGTTGTTTGTCAATATTTTGACGCGTGAAGGATTGGTTTTAAGAAAGAAAATCTAATTACAGGTAATAGTGAAGACTTGTTCTGTCACATCTCTCACTGATTTTCAGGAGACGTTTGACGGCTTTGAGTTGGGTTCTTATGTAGGTGTTCTTATTGTTTGTGGGGTGGTTTGTTGGTTTTTGGTTTTGGGTTTTTTTTTTTTTTCTCAGTTGCTCTTGACCCGATATTCTGTTGTGTTTTTATATTCATTGTTAGGTTACTCACCCACTTCCCTTTTGTCCGTTATTTTTCTTCTGTGTTCTCCCCTTCTTAGTAAGGTTTGTGTTCTTTTCTCTCTGGATTTGGAGTCTTATTTTCTTCTAATTCATGCCCATGTTTATTGCCTTGTTCTGCTTTATCTTTGTTTTATATGTTGTTTCTCCCCAGTTTGGGTCTTCTTCCCATTTTCTATGTTTTGCCTACCCCTTTGCATAACCTTAGTTCCACCATGTTCACTGGAGGTTCCCCCACCTTTTAATCTGCCTGTTCAGTCTTTAATCTCATCTTGCTTTCTCCTTTCAGTCTTTGCTGACTGTCTTTCAATCTTTTACTTCCTTTTATACACTATAAATCTGCCCCCTCCTTTCCATTTTCATCCATAGTTTTAACCTTGCTTTTTCCTGCTCTTTTTCCTGCATTGTTTCTTTTTTCTACACCAGCCACTTGCTGTCCTTTCCGTGCTGCCTCCTACTCTGACGGTGTCCTTGCTGTCTTTCGTCCACAAGGAGTTTGTGTGGTTTTCCTTTTCACCTTGTTGTAAATGTTCCCTTTCAGTGTTTCGTCCTAGTTAATTTCGTCTCTGTCCCCAGGTGGAAATCACAACATCACTGCATCTAAAAGAGTGAAAGGGGGCTTTATTTGATGCCCCCTCAAACTCCCTATATTTTTTATTTCCTTTTATTCTCAAGGCTGCTGTGGCTGCTGCTTTTCTTTTTTTCTTCTTTAAGGTCATAGAGAGGTAAGCTTGATAGCACCAAGGGCAGGATGCCATGTGCTTGTTGGAAAGACAGGAATTGGTTGGTAGGTTTCTTCCATGCAGTGAGGAAAATGGTCTGGCAGCAAAAAAGGAAAAAAAAAAAAGGCCGTAGTACTAGACATCATGAATTGTGGTCATAATATGAATCATTGATGGACAAAGCCGTCTCTTAACGGGCACAGAGATGTGAGTGGCCATCAGAGGGACAGTCACCTGAAGAGCTGATTGGCTCTTTGAGGAACTAGTGGTTCCACTTTGAACCAATGAGCATGTGTGCCCAGACAGACACCATTTCAGCATATTGGGGAGGGGGCTGGGGAGGGGGACAGTTGCTTGTTGCACCCTCACGAAAGTGTTATTGCAGCCACTCCAGCTACCTAGTAAACGGAAAATAGTCAACACATCCATGTGATGAATCGAGTCAAGGATAGAAGAGCTATAACTGAGCGTCCAGAGTAAATGCAGTGAAAAGATGAAAAGGTTGAAGTGAATCTTATTTGCCATTAAGAGCCATAAGCCATTGAGAGGAGAAATGTGTGATTAAAAATAGATTTTTCAGCATTCTTATAAAATCTCATGAAGAGTATAATTTTCCTTAAAAGGGGTAATATACCATGGTTTTAAAAGCATATTTTTCCTCTGTGGGAGGCTTAGAGTTAAAACCCACGTAGATCTTGATATGCAGCCTAAATTTGGCATCAGGAAATGGGAAATTGCATCTTTAAGCAGAGTACAATCAAAAATGAATTACAATAAATCCTATATAATTGCATAGGTCATTCTCTTTAATGAGATTTTATTAACCTGACTGTCAAGCTTTTGAGTCAGGCAGATATTTTATCTTCTTCAACTGATAAAAGTGTCAGCTATAAACCACCATATAAATATTCATAAATCTACACATCTGTGGCAGCCTATCAGCATCATTCTTTTGGACATTAAAAGCATTCTAATTACTTTCTGTCTAGCAGAGCTGAAATGCTGCCTGTTATAGTATGTGCTTGGCAGGCATGATTGCTTTTGTTTGCCATCACAAATAGCAGCATCCTATTTTATATACCGATGGTCCAGAAAATATTCAGGGATTGACTGAGCAGGATGAATATTAGGAAGCACCATCTGGTTTTGATAGCACCAAGTATATTAACTCATCTGTTAATTTTTGACACATCATTGATTTATTTATTTAGAAAAATTGCATCCTGTTTTGCTGTGTTGATGTTTGCCATTATGAAAAAAAATTGGATGGCATTTTTTTAAAAGACATAGTTCATTGATTTAAGACAAGGGTGATGCTCCCAAAGATGCTTTCATTTTCTAACTTCTATTTTCTATGCCATGAAGTCCTCTCTTAAGAAGTTTATTAATGTTTTAGGGAAATTATCTATATTGGATAAGCTGAAAAATTCTTTTGGTAGATATAACGTATGGATACATGATAGCAGATCACAAAAATTTTTTTTCTGCTTCTGCATTTTTAATATTAATATATTTCACCCTTCGCTGGGCTAAAATCAAAAGGTTACCACTAATCTCAATGACTGTGATCTCCCTCATAGTAACAAATACTCTTGGGTATATGCTGTGATGGGCAAATTCCATTCAAGGCTTTACTTACAAAGAAGGACATTAAAGTAAGGCGCCTGTGTTTGATTGCCGAGTTCCCATCCCTCTTCTTATCTTATTCACTTATCAGATTTAGGATGGATTAAACCACTTAAATTCAGAAGAATTTCTAGATATGAATTTTTTAAGCCACTTAAATTCAGAAGATTTTCTAGAAATGAATTTTTTAATTAAAAAAATAATCACGGGTTCAGATTTTGGAATCAGACTAGGCACAATTTGCAACATATCATCCCAACAGATTACACAGTAGAGCAAAATAAATTACATGTGGTCACTTTACAGTGCTTTGTGATTGTGATTTATTAACATTTTGCAGTGTTTACTTTTAAAGAAGTTAGGAATAAAGTAGGTAGTTTTAAAGCCCCTTTGTAAACCGTTGACTTTGTACTTCCCTGCCATCACTTGAGTGGAGCATTCTGTAACTAGGGGGAAAAAAACAGTTAAAGAAATTCAAAATACATGTTCATACTTTGCTCAATTAAGAATCATGGGTCAGTGACCATTCAATTGTGTTCATATGAAAACAGAACTTTTCTCTATTTCTTAGCGATAATGGGCATTGCACAGTACTTGCATTTCTAATTATATTCTGTCTGGAAGGCTGAAGTATTGCTGGCTGCAGTACGTAGTAAGTAGAAAGATGTGCTGTTTTCTGCCAAGTGTGATAGTAATATTTTTCATCGTATTCTTCCATGTATTGATGTTAAAACACTATTTGAACGTTTTAAGGTACCAAAAAGAGGAGAAATTCAACTTTAAGGCTTATGGTTGCTATTTTTGCATCTCAGTTCTTAGAACAAATTCAGAATGAAGCATTTTTAAAAACTGAAGGCAAGAACTGTGTTGTGTTTGTAGCTACCCTCTGATATTCTGAGAGCGCTTTAATACGTTATCTTCATAATGTAGTGTATTGCATAATGATTTTTTCTCAGCATATTATGAGTTTATCCTTCAATTAAGAAAACAAGTCATGCTTGTCCCTAAGTCAGGTTTTTTTCCCTTAAAATCTATACCGTAATGTGATTTAGCAATATGATGAAAGCTACTGAGTGTGCTTTAGGACATTAAACAGATATATTCAAGTAATTCTTTATAGACACTTCTATTTTAGCCTTTCTTTTCATATTTTGTTCCTTTCATCAAGGTTGTGTTAAAGGTGTATAGGATGTAAATCAGTTGGGACTGTGCTGATTAAAATGCAAACGGTAAATACAACTTCAGGTCTAGAATGGGATTATAGGATTAAAATGAATGAAAACTACTAGTGTGCTAGAATTGAAAATTCCCAATCAATATCATCCTTTGATTTTACTAATAAAAGAACAAAAACCTGGAAGTGAAAATGACAATGCAACATTATAAGTCCTCCCACTTATATGGTTCAACTGCTTACTTTGTTTATTTGGTTTGGGTCAACGTAAAGAAATAATACCAAATATCTGAGGTCTTTCCCCATTACTTTTTGGTTTAAATCGTGGGCCCAGTTCTCCCCTTCCACCTGGCAGGGGACAGAGGCATCAATTCCAGTGTTTTGGTGTAAAAAGGTACTTCCCATATCCACATCCCTTTTTCTCCCAAATAGCGAGTGGACTTTATCCTGGCTGCTGCTTCAACAAAGTTCCCAGCCCATCAACCAATTCTAGCCTGAAACTGTACTTGATATCTGGTTCTTCAGGACTCAAAAATCATTGTATAAAAAACAGGCCTGTGCCTAATATGTGTGGGATTTAGGACAAGAGTATAAATGCAGGCCTTCATACCATATATCTAAATAATTAACAAATTGTTAAATAAAGTATGTTTCCATCCACCTACCTTGATAAATACACCTTCTTAATGACCAGATTTGATTTTGGAGTTTCAGCCAGCCCATGGCCTTCTCTCCCCACCCCCAGCTTCATCTTCCACTAGGAGGAACCTCACATACACAGGAATGGATGCCCCAGTCCAAACTTCCAGGCTCTGGCACCATGGTCTGTCTTTGGGAGAATGGCTCAGGGAAGAGTCCAACACAGGCCCTCGAAGCAGTTTGAGTAAGGAATTCCTGGATCTTGGGTACCTCACCATGGGGAGAGGGCGGGATGGAGGAGGATGGTTAGGGCAGGGGCCCTCCTGCCTGTGTCTAAGGGTTATATTGTTCCTAGGAGTGGGAAAGCACTATGCCAGGGAGAAAATAGTCCTGTGGACTCGCAGCTTGCCCAGGGTGCTCTTGCCACCCCAGCCAAGGAAATGTGAAATGCTATAAACTAAGATCTATTTATTTACAAGAGGCCCTGCATATATTCAGTAAATATTTCGTTGTCCCCACAGAAGCCCTCAAGCATCTCATTGTTTTTCATTTTGGAAGTTTATCCCCCCCCCAAAAAAAAATAACAGCTGATCAACATGTTCGGAGACAAGTAGCTAGATAAATTTCTATCATAAATAGTTACTGGCATCTAAAATCTATAGTATTTTGTTTGTGGCCATTATTCTGAGTAGGGAGGAGAGGAAATGAGAGGCATCCACCACCTCTATGTAAGCCTTATAAAGTATCCCTCTGTATTTATAAATAGTCCATTCTGGGTGGTGGTCAGGAAAGAAGAAAATGTACCTGGTGACATTTGCATTTAGGGTGAATGTCCAAGACCCTTTGACAACATGAAAACATGTTTTCACAATTTGAAGGGTTTTTGCTTGTTTTTCTAAACGGATTGCTTTCCACTTGGTTTTTGCTTTTTATTGATTGACGATTAATATGCTTTCGAATATGTTTCTATGAACTAACCACCACTCTAGACACATGCCATTTTAAGAGACGTGGCAGTCTAATGGAAGAGGCTCTAAGAAGAGGCACTGCTGCTTTTCACGTGATACTTAATACAGATTGGCCTAAACATTGGCCTTGACAAGAAATCCAGGTTCACAGATAAATGAAAAGAAAGCATAGTGAACACAGATGTGGGATAACACAGTTTTGCTTTTGGGCTCGTCATCATTTGCCTTATAGGCCACTCTTTGTTTTACCTTAGATGTCTAGTGAGCTCTTCAAAAGGACTTATCTTTCTCCAGTTTGCATCTGGGAGCAACGTACTCTCGGCAGGGATTGTATCAGCTGATTAATAGCAAGGGCATGAGGGCACTCCAGAAATAGAAGTAATGATTGCTGTAAGCCCTCCTATCAATGAGGAATTGAGTCTGCCGTGGCTGGCTCGATTCATTAGAGTAAGGATATTAATGAAGCCAAAGGTGTGAGTTCAGACCTGTGCAGGCCAGTTAATGCCACAGCAAGGGAGAGCTCTGTATGGTGCCCAAAGTCACAGTCCGGCCATTTCCCAGAGTGAGGGGGTGGGGGTAACTCTTCAGGCACCCCTCTGGTTGCAGAATGACGGGAAGCTAATGCATCCTATCTTGTCACCTTAGTTTGGGACGGAGAGTAAAAATACCTATTTTTAACATTTTTGAATGTTAAGTTCAACATTGAGGACCGCACTTACCCCTAGTCTTTGGCTATCCGACTCTGATGTGTCTTTTCATGTGTTTCAGAGAGTCGAATGATCTTGGATGCCTTTGCCCAGCAATGCAGTCGAGTTCTTAGTCTCTTAAATTGTGGAGGAAAGCTTCTGGACTCCAACCATTCCCAATCCATGATTTCTTGCGTAAAGCAGGAAGGCTCGAGTTATACTGAAAGACAGGAGCAGTGTCCCATCGGGAAAGGGGTCCACAGTCAGACCTCAGATAACGTAGACGTAGACATGCAATATATGCAAAGGAAACAACAGACTTCTGCCTTTTTGAGGGTTTTCACTGACTCCCTACAAAATTACCTGCTCTCGGGGAGCTTCCCGACTCCAAACACCTCATCGGTCAGTGAGTACGGCCACCTGGCCGACGTGGATCCTCTGTCAACCTCCCCCGTGCATACACTAGGTGGCTGGACCTCCCCGGCAACCTCTGAATCCCATGGTCACCCATCCTCTTCTACGCTGCCAGAGGAGGAGGAAGAGGAGGAAGAGGAAGGCTACTGTCCGAGATGTCAGGAGCTGGAGCAGGAGGTTATTTCGCTGCAACAAGAAAATGAAGAGCTCAGACGGAAATTAGAGAGCATCCCAGGTACCGTGCCGTTTTCCCTGCAAGCTGCCTGCAGATCCTTCCTCCCGTTGTCTTCGGGGGGGGGAGGGGGTGTGTGTGTGTGTGTGTGTGTGTAGGTATGTATATCTATTTTTCGTTTTGGCCAGCAAGGGAGAAAAGTTGGGAAAAACAGACATGCACACAGGGTGGCCTTCGCCTTCCAGTGCCAAACGGAAATTTCAGGACAAACTACTAGCCTTGTCCTGTTTATGTTTAGGTCGGGGAAAGGCCTGAAGACCACCGTCCTGTTTAAAGATGTCTCTATCCATATAAAAGTGATTCCAGACTTGACTGAAGAGTGCAGTAAGCCAAGCATCATGACTCTCCGTTTTCGTCAAAAAGTGACCCTCTTTTTTTAAAAGCAGCTTTTGTATTTTTAAAGACTTCATTATATGTGTTTTATTAGTAATAGAGAGTAAAGTGGAATGATGCTTTCAGAGGGGGTACGTGAGTAGTACTGAGCAAGTGGTCTCTTCTGTTCCGTTAATTTCTTGCCATTCTTGTTAAGTTTCTGCAGGCATAGTTTGGTTTAGCATGCAGGCTCCCCCTGAAAGTTGGTAAGCAACTGTAAACTAAGAGGAATAGATCAAAGACAGACCAGTAATTAAGCTGATCCCAAACTGTTTGTGCCCCTGGTGAAACAGGCATTTCCTGCCTCTTAGAGACACTAGATTTGGAGAGTTAGTAAAGTCATCTTTATGGCAAGATCTTCTCTGGGATGCAAAGCCATGTTTTTACCTAAGTACCGATTTTGCTTCTATCTTTGAATTCATTCTTGCATGTCCGTGACTTACAAAAGACAGTAAGATCATTAGCTAGAAAAAATCTTCAAACCCCGTTAATCACGCAGCCCCTTAATAAACATTTTTGAGCGTGTACCCGCCAGTGTTCACATTTATTGGTTAATTACATACATGTCCTACTGTACTAATATAGTGTGTTCAAAATAAAATATATATAACACATTAAAAATTTTTAAGGCTTGATACATAAATAGAAATAGAATATTCTTTTCCTAACTCAGTGTCTTTGAACTACTCAGTCTGGCAGCTGACTTAAAAAGAAGGAAATATTGAAGAATACTATCCACTTGTTTATTAGTACACAGACAAAGCAAAAACAAAAGCAAGAACAAAAGCAAGTGTTAAGAATTGCCAAACCAGAAATTTATTTTCCTTCCATCCTTTCATTTAAAAGCATCCCCCAAATAGACCTGAGGTTTGGTTCAGAATATTTTGGAATTAGATTTAGTGCAGTTGTGTTGTGGGGGAGAATCAGGAGGAGGTGAAGTAAATCCTTCCTCTCCCTTTGCCTTTGAGCCCTGGGGTTAGATAAAAGGTCGTGGTGTCTTTCCAAGCCAGCAGGCGGCAACTGCAGGAGACCTGGGGTAGAACTCAATGCAGGGGAACCAGGGCTGCTCTGGGTTCTCCCAAGTCCGAGAGAGTGGGTTACAGCTAACACACTGTGGGGTTTTACAGCTTTCACAGTTCCATAAATTATGGTTGGTTAACTTGGAGTTTTATCCCCAAAGGAGTATTTTCCATCTTGCTCCCCATCCTCCTCTTTCCCTGGGGGAGAAAATAGTGTCCTGGAGATCAGCGAATTTTAGGTACTTATATCAGCCATTCAGAACTGTGGCTCAGAGTTTCAGAGTGCAGGGACGGGTAACACAGATGTCCAGAGTGGTATTGTCTACTTCCCAGTCCTAAATGCTTGTCCTCGGCAAATACCAAGCAACTTTGGGGTTTAGTCCTCCTCCCGTTTCCCAAATCTGTACCGGATAACTCATCGCTGACCTGCCATTAATCACTGTCTCTGTTTCCCAGAAAGATGAAAATGCTGCAATTTCTTGAGCCTTCTAGATGGTCTGATATTGAATGACACTTATTGAAATTAGGCTGTGGTCACCACTGTTAGGGTAAACAGTCCAGCCCTGTTGACAGCCCCCTCCATGAACTTCAATCAAAAGCCATTTCACATGGAGAACCATGATTGCTGTAAATAATCCATACTGAAACCCAACTATATAAACAAAAATCAATTTGTTGGGGCACCTGGGTGGCTCAGTTGTTTAGGTGTCTGCTTTTGGCTTAGGTCATGTTCTCAAGGTCCCAGGATCGAGCCCCATGTCAGGCTCCCTGCTCAGTGGGGAGTCTGTTTCTCCCTCTCTCTCTGCCCCTCTCCCTGCTGGTGCATGCTCTCTCTTTCTCTCAGATAAATAAAATCTTTATAAAAAAGAAAAGAAAGTCAGTCTGTCAGTTATGAGTAGAAAAATATTAGTATAAAATTCAAGAAAGATTAGCTATTTAAGGGGTGCCTGGGTGGTTCAGTCAGTTAAGCATCTGACTCGATTTCAGCTCAGGTCATGATCTGAGGGTCGTGAGATCGACCCCCATGTCAGGCTCCATGCTGGGCATGGAGTCTGCTTGAGATGCTCTCTCTTCCTCCGTTCCCCCTCCCCTCCCCCATGCACACATACTCACTCTCTCTAAGAAAAAAAGAAATATTAGCTTATTTGTGATTACTTAACACATGTACTTGTTACGTAGGGATGCCTTAGTATTGGGCATCCAGTTGAATGCATCACTTACAATGAAAACTTGAAGCAGGCATCCCTGTCCCCTTGCCCACACTGCCCAAACTCCATCTTTGGCTGAACAACAAACCAGATTGTGGATGATCACCTAAGAATCCACCTTTCACTCTATTATCTATGAATTTTGGGGGAGGGAAATTCATTATTTTTAGACGGCCATTTGAAGAAAAGTGCAGCAAGTGATAGATAAATTAAAATAGGTCAAGAGGATGAGTTAAAAGTAAAAAGCCATCCGGTTTTGCATGTAACAGGAGTATTTTGCAAGCAGTAGCTCTCCTGGATAATTTGGGATGGATTTTCTCTAAGCATTGTCAAGGTTTCCCAACAGCCCCAGCAGGCCTCTGTTGTTCTAAAGGCCAGTGCCTTTCCATGGGAGGGCCGGGTACCTGGGACCTTCTGGTAGTAGAAACTACCCTTATGTTGTGGGATTACTCTCCTTACAGCCCAGCAGGATGCATGAGTACAAAGGAGAAAGTAGCATTCGGAGGAAATAGGGTTAACGAGAAGATAGGGACGCCTGCCCAGGTCAGAGCTGAGGCACTGATTTTAGTCCCTTCTCGGCTGTTCCAGAGTTGTGCTGTTGAATGACTTTGAGATTCCTGGGTTTTTTTATTTTTCATTTTTTTCCTGAAATAAAGCGTTCATACCTGGGAGCCATTCGTGAAGTGGGACTTCCAGTGAGCCTGTTAGAATACAGGGGGAAATTGGCTCACCTGGGCAGCTATAAAAGGGGACAAGAAAGTGCAGACCTTACCAAAAAGAAAGAGGTTGGGGAAGGTGTTCTTCCCGCACCACCTGACAGGGCCTGGGTTACTGTATTCTTTGTCAAGGAGTCAGCAAAGGCCTGTTGATTGTCAACCACATGCAAGCAAGGGGCTTCTGGAGAATAGTCCTCTGACTTCCTGCTCACAGTGACTTGCAGATGTGGATGAAGGAGCACTAGCACTTACTCTTTGGTGTTAGAGTATCACACCAGAAGTTAGTCCGTTGAAAAGTTTAAATTTTTTAAAAGAAAGTGAAGATAAGTTAAAAGTAAAAAGCCGCAGAAGGAAATGACATTTGGATCAGGAATATGAAAAGCTGAGACCTTAATAAAAGAAGGAAAATGGGGCACCTGGGTGGCTCAGTCGTTAGGCGTCTGCCTTCGGCTCAGGTCATGATCCCAGGGTCCTGGGATTGAGCCCCACATCGGGCTCCCTGCTCAGCGGGAAGCCTGCTTCTCCCTCTCCCACGCCCCCTACTTGTGTTCCTTCTCTCACTGTGTCTGTCTCTCTCAAATAAATAAATAAATAATCTTTAAAAAATAAAAATAAAAAAATAGAAGGAAAATGTTGGGGAAATGTCTTCCTGGAGGGAGTATCAGCTTAGAGCCAGCACACTTGTTTAGAAAGCTAATGGTCAGCAGCACAAGGCAAGAGAACTCCTAAGGGAGGGTGGATGTCAAATACCACATGTCATCTAATTTAAGACCCCATCGAATGCAAGACGCACCAGTATTCTGTTGTCCACTAAGAAGAAAATACTGCGAATCATAACTGCCCCTTAGAATTCTCTTTGAACAAGCAAATATGAAAAAATATGGGTCTTAGATTCATAAAATATGGTAATTTTAGAAAATAATTTCCAGAGTAAAATAATTATGACTTGTTAAAAATACCTTGAGACGTTCTAAGTGCCAAATATACAGAAATATACTACTGACATTATTAAAGGACTTTCTACTTTTTAAAAAGCACATTTATGATTATCTCAATTTATCTTCAGAACCCCGAACAAATATTAATATTCCCACTTTGTAGACAAACAGGTTGAAGCCGGGACAGGCCAAGTCTGTGGCAGAGCTAGGATTATTATCCAAGCCTCTTGACTCTAGATCTAGTTTATTACCCCCTTTCATCCTGAAAATAGAGTCAATCCTCACAGTTCATTGTAGTTACCTTCTATAAAGTCACTGTCGACACTGAATTAGCGAATACCCGAGGCGTCACTACTCCGGGAAATACAGAGCTGGGTTTCTGAGGACCTCTGGTCACATTTTTTATCAACCGATCAATGCATGTTTATGTATGTTTTTGTTCAAAGAGACCTCATTTCATATCTAGTGTTGTCGGATTAACACTGAACTTACAGCCCACAGCACTGTAACTCCTGCTGAATGAAGCTTATCTAACGCGTATTTTCTCCCTGCTCTCATCGCGTCCTTCCTGCACTTAGAAGCACTAGACAGCCCTTCAGCTCTGCATTTGGGATCTCTTTTAAACAGCGAAATCGCCAACAAAAAGCACAAAAATGTGAAGAACGTGGCACATGGAAAGAACATTTGCTGCGGTGCGAGAGCTGAAATAAGCAGGCAGAGCGTTCCCTTGTTCGACCTCAGCTGGGGAGC